TTGGAGATTTTTTAATCTCCCTAACTAGCACATCTAATACTCATTTAAAATATTAAGAGTATTTTTTTTCAGTCAAGGTTCATTCTTTTATTGATTATAAGAAAGATTATATCAGAAACATACTTTTGAACATAATTCTACTGATATAAAGGACATAGAGTTTATGCATTCCCCTACATTTAGGAAGAATTAATGTTGGATACATTCTCTGTGCGTAAAGGTGAGCCAAGAGAAGGGACAGCGACCGATATATCATGATTCCTTCTTGTCAGATGGGGAATGATCGTTTCAAGAATTAACTATGTTGATGATCAACACTTACTGACACTTATACTTATGGGTTGAAATTATCTTTATTCTGTAAAGTCTAATTTACCCTGCATAGTAAGTTAGAGACTTTAAGAAGAATCCTTCTCTAATCCTTCCCAAGATTAGAGCTCTGTTGAGCTTCACACGTCAGTCTTAGGCAAGGCCATCACGGGCGTAATGCAGGCATGATGGCAATGTGCTCTCATGTTTCCGGGGTAGAGAGGAAAAATAGAGCAAGTGGCCAAGAATATGGATATTGATTCAATACCCAGCTCTACCACTTATTATGCATTAGCTTGGGCAAGTTACTTAATCTCTAGTTTTCTTATATGCAAAATGGAGATGATAATAATATCAAGTATGTAGTGTTGGAGTTGTAAAAATTAAATAAAGTGATATATATTTAAGTGCCTAACATAGTAGTTAGCATTCAATGAGGGCTCAAACAAATAGCTATGATTGTATTAATAGTAGTATATGTTGTACTTGTTGTATTCATTGTAATTATTATTATTGTTATTGTTGTTGGATATGGTCTGTGGGCCAAATCTGGCCCATAATCTGTTTTTGCAAATAAAGTTTTATTGGAACACAGTCATGTCCTCTCATTTGCTTATTGGTTATGGCTGCTTTCATACTACAACAGTAGGGTCGAGTGATTGTGGCTGACTGAATGGCACACAAAACCTAAAATATATACTATTTGGTTCTTTATAGAAAGTATTTTCTCACTTTTAGCACAGTGGAAAGGAAATAGCAAAAGTCTAACAGTCACATAGAGCTGTACTTGAATTTTGATTCTACTCCTTTGCTTGATGAAGTTGGTCAAATTTCCCTCTGAGACTCAGTTTCCTCACTGGTTGCAATGCAACATAGATAGACATGTTATTGTGATTACGTGTATTAAAGTACATACGCCCTCAGTACAAAATAGTTTCTCCATAAATATTAACATCAGTGTCTTCCTTTTATATACCTTCTTTCAGGTTTTCCTCTTATAGTGAGGAAAATAGACTGGATGGTTCTGAGTTTAATTTCACTATTTCAAAAAAATGTTAAAACATTGCTAATTTATGCTTTATATACACATTATTACCTATTTACAAGTGGCTAGCTGTCCTTTACTGGAATTCTTAGAACCAAGCCGGACCACTCAAGGCATTAGCAACAGAAGCAGTTACTTAATTCAAATAACAAATATTCTTATCCTAGGTGGAGATAATTTAATTTGTCTTTTATAGTCATTAAGGCAAATTTTCCAAAGCATAATATTTTATAAGTGTTAATGTTTTATTTATTAAGCTTAGTATAAATTGAAGTAATGATATTTGCATTATGACAGTGTATAAATAGAATTATAATGTGTGTCTCAAGTATAATTTTAATTTAGACAAGATTTACTCTTTTTGAGTGGCCCTAAATTTATGGTCTTGGTCAAGTCTATCTGGTGGATGGGTACAGGACCAAATGTGAGTCATAGCTTCCATATTCTATTTTACAAATATGAATTAATCATAGCCAAGTTCTCTGGTGATTATTTTATAAGGCTGAGTATAGCATGACATTTTCATACAAATCATTTTGGCTCTTCAGTCTTGAAAGTGTTTAGTTGTCTTAATTTTGTCACACTCACAATCACTTGTGAATAACCAGCATCTCCTATTATCCTGCTAATTCATAAAAAAGCCCACCATATCATTTCTATAAGTTAAGTAGTTGTAAATATATCCCATTTTCAGAGTGTCAGAGAGACAAATTATTAAAGGTGTACATGCTGAACAAATTAAGTTTTTATTTGTACCATTGTTTGTTTCTTTTGCATTTCCTTTTCTCTTCTTTTTAAAAATTCTTCTTGGTTTGCTTTTCTATGTTGACTTAATTTCCATCTTTTATATATAACCCATCATGAACCCGGGTCTTAGGATGCAGAACTTTTATAGAGAATCCTGCAGGTAGGAATAGTGAACATTCTTTCCAATTTTCATTTTACCCCTTCAAACTAATTTCTAAACTCTATATTTTGAACACTTTTGCCATTGGGCCACACAATTCTGCTTTTCACCTGTGTCCAAAGTGGCTGAAACATCAGCATCAGGATGGTGGCATTGCCCCAAGGAGCATCTTATTTACATCTCTCAGGTAGGAGTGTTAAGTTATCCACATAGTAATTAGGCTAATTTGTGGCAAAGGTGGTGGGCTCAACAAAATACACATGAATTTTTTAAATAGGATAGGATAATCTCCCCACCCAATATCTTATTCAAGTTTTTTAAAAGAGTTAATTTCTCTCCCTAGACTTCCCACACTTAATGATATCTTATGTAAAACATACACATAGAAGACCCTCATTAACAAACTTGTGGAGAGAATAGCTGAGTTTGCAGCACCACTGCTGAACCCAATTTAAATATATTTTTGGTTATGTGGCCAAGACCCTTGATACCACACACTTAAATGGACTTGTACTTCTTCCCTATCTCATTCTATCTACTTCCTGGAATCATCTCCCACATAAATAACCTGCCCCCAAGTCTTGACTCTGCCCTTGGGGTTGCCTCAGCTAAGACAAGATTATCTGAATAACAACACATATTACTTTTCAATATCTAAAATAAATATGGATGGGGAGTACAAATTGTGCTGTTCTCTTGAAGACAGAATAAATATCCTTTTAAGAGCTCATAATATTGATTATAAATAAAAACTTAAGTGACCTGGGCTCACTTTCAACAAAAATCTAGTTCTTAATAAAAAGAGATCTTCTCTGCACCATGAATTCTAAATCTATTTGGGCTTTTAATTTTAACCCTTGAAGGAAATTGAACTCGAATAGCAGGAGCACTTGTTCTTCAGGAAGCCTGGGGGCTATTAAAAAAAGCAACCTGAGGCCTTGTAGTAGCTATGAATCTGCAGGAGAGAGGCTGACTGGGGGAAAAATGCTGCAGTAAGAATCATTTATGTTGATATCTGACTCTTGCTCTCATATCTTAGATCATTAACAATTTATCTCATAAGATCCCCATATATAAGATAGAGTTGCCATTCATTTGAAATTTATTTGGAGAATTTAAGAGAATGTGAGAGTTGTGAATTCCAGGATATTCTTTGCACATAAGGCTATGCCTTGGTTCATCAAAGTGTTGACTGGACTCTCTATCCTTTAGATAAGCATAGACCCAGAACAGACTCCCTGTTGGGATCCTTGATTCTTTTTTTTCTTTCAGCATATTATAGGGGTAAAAATGTTTAGGTTACGTATATTGCCCTTGTCACACTGAGTCAGAGCTTCAGGCCAATGGGATCCTTGATTCTAAGTTTTTTTTTTTTATATGCTTGAGGGAAGAGAAGCTGGGATTTGCCCAGGACCAGGCAATGGCAGCAGACTGGATCTAGGCTTCCTGTCTGTCTTTGGTTGCCATTGGGCCACATGAAAAGAGGCTCCCACTGGGTATGAAGACTTCCCATTATGTGTTGGCTGAGGTGGACACAGTGGGGTTAATATTAAAAAGGAAAAACAGAGCTAAGATGGGTGTATATGCCATAAAAGGAAAAAGAAAGAAACCATTTGTTTTTGCAAGCCACGTGCCAAAATAATCAGAAATGTTACAAAAACGTTTTGTCTTATTGCATATTTACTGGGACGGATATATCAGAATGAAATATTAAAAGTCATGAGTGTTTCTTTCAAAATCATCATTATTATTGTGGATTAAAATTCCATGTTAAGTTATAAGACTTTGTATAAATGAAGTGTCTGAAGGCACTTTTCTGTGGGTCATTTGTGGAATCCCAGGAGGACATTTTCTGTTCCCATATTTCTTGCTCACTTGTCTCTTTGGTGCCTAAGATTTCTGCCTTTTGGATTATGAACATGGCGGACAGCTGGAGGCATGTCTGATCTCATCTAAGCTGCTCTGTAGGTCAGCCGGGACAAGTGCTAGTAGCTCCTTTTTTAGAGACAATGAAATCAAGGCACAGGGTTGTTAAGGGTTCAAACTCACATAGCCAGTGGGTAAGGAAGCTAACATGGAAACCCCCAAGTTCTAATTTTTCCCTGTACTGCATAAGGTTGGGGAAAGATATTACGGTTTGGAGTCAGATAACACAGGCTTGAATGCACTACTTTTCTTTCCAGCTGTGTGACTTTGGACATATTGCCAACCGCTCTGAATCTCAGTTTCTTCATCTGTGAAAAAAGGGGAATAATCCTACCTTGTAGGATTTGTTGTGGAAATTTCATTAGACAAATCAGGCAAAGCAACCAGTTTAATGCCTGGCATGTGGTAGGTACTCAATACATGGAGCTATAACCACCTGGAAAAGATATCTACTATCTCCATTTCATATACTTTTCCTACCCTTAAAGGAGAAATGATGAATCAGAGAGAATTTCTAGTTTATTAAAGGAAACCAGTATCCTTGGTTTCCTTTAATTCCTAACACTATCTCCTGTGAAAGAGTTTGTGTGTGTGCATCTGTTAATGCATCTGTGTATATGCACACCTGTGTATACCTGTATGCATGTAGTATACCTGTATGCATGTAGTATACCTGTATGCATGTAGCCATATGAACCTGTGTACATGTCTTAGGCACAGCAGTGGTTCTAGGCTTTGTGGAACCAGACAGCAATAAAACATGGAGACTTTGTCTACTGCAGATAACTGGAAACTGGACCATCGCCATAAAGGTAATTCAATCAGGTGGGTTCTAGCTCAGCGACATAGCTGAGTTCCACGGGCACAGGTTTTATTCTCAAAAATGTCAGGATGATACCTTGAGTTCCCATCCTGATGATCTGGAAAGTTTGGGGCAATTCCCTTCAGTAGACACAGCCATGGACTCACATAAAATTGCATTCAATTTTGAGTATACTTTATTTACAGTTATTCATTCTTTCTTAAAATATTTTAGAACCACCTTAATTAAAATCAGTACATAAAATAATCTTCACTGTATTTGTTACATATGGCACAAAATAATTTAACACTTTATAAATATGTTTCACTGATGCACAAATGGGAGAAGCACCCTTTGCTAAAAGCTGTACAGCAACAGTTCAATTGAGCTATGGTAGCACTTTAAAAAATGACCATGAGATGGCGCTGTAGCCAAGTAGATGAAGATGAAGTATACTTTGCCTTCTCTAGTTACGGTATTTAATTCCTTTCTTTAAATATAGAAGAATCTATCATTCAACTTAAAGTTGAGTTAGGTTTGTTACTCTATTTTAATAGCATTGACCAGGAGTGAATCCTTTAATCATGGATCCATAAGTCATTTGGCGACTGTTTTACCCGGGTGGGGAGTGTATTTAAAGCCACAGTAGTCTGAAAATCCTCGGACTAAACAAGGACCCAAAGGTACCATTTGTTTAAGATCATTGAAGTATATGTATGGACCATTGTTTTCACCACCCTCATAGAATTGTGTTAAAGTCTTTCCACAAAATTAGATCAACTGACGGTTTATTTAAAAAGCTGATATTTTTGTTACACTTTAATCTGCTTTGACAGCAATGGAAAGTCACAAGTGTATCAGAACATGAATTCACATTTAAATCAACATGATACAAACATGCACACATGTGTATATACTGATTGTTTTCATTGACTTGCTTTTTCTCCATATAAATATATAAATATTGAATAAAGTGCATGGGAACATGTCTGTACATATATACAGATACACATTCGTCTATACAGTATACATTTGAATACTTATGGAAGAAAAAAACACATACACATTGGGAATATATATTTAGTCAAAAGACATCTGTCAGGCGGTATTAATGTCCGTTCTAATCAAGATTGAGTAGAAGGGGGTAGAACCTGCAATCTTTTCTCTGATACATAATGAAATGTGCAGAGTTATAAACTAAGGCAAAATACATTAGAACAGAGACTTTTCAACATGTATATTTTCTTCAGTTAATATGGTATAATCATTAAAGAGTAGTTCAGTTCAAATGCAGCCTTGGTACTAGTGGCATATTATAAATTCTAGCTTTGAAATGGTGAATCATCTCTCAATGTATCTAGAACGACATAATTAGGATTTTCTGCATTTCCCAACACATTTCCAGATTACACAACGGCACTTCTCACATTCTTTAGTTTTCAAATCGGTAGTTTCTTCCAAAGGCTTAGGCCCCAAACGATTTCTCATTTAATAAAAATGCTTCAGCATTGTAATCATATATTTAACATCTGTTCCAATAACTATGTGTAATTTAACCTTGAGTATTACAATGCCAAGGTGGATTAACTACTGCTAATCTATTTCTCTCTTCAGCAACTGTTTCTACAAAATATTTTCTGATTTTTTTTTAAATTAGGGAACCCAGTGTCAGTGAGTAGTACTAAAATGAATGAGTTTTTAGAGAAATGGAACAAAAATTTTGCTCAAAACTTTGGTAGTCATTAATTGGGTCCAGATTGAGGTGCATGTTTCTAAATTAATTGCAATGTTTAACCTCAAGTGATTTTCTTCCCTTGCTCCTTTGTTTGGTTGGCATTCATTGGTAACCAATCAGGAAGACTTACTGAGAAAATTACTCTCAGAGTTGGAACAAACCTGTTTCTGAACCAGGTAAGAAGGAAATAAATTGAACTGATTCTCAAAATAAGTCTGTTTATATTTTTTGACCATTTCTGTTTAGTCATTTTCTTCAGAGGCAAAGGGTCTTGTTTTAAGTACTTTTATACCCCTCATACTTAGAAAATTGCTTCACACTTAAGTGTACACTCAATAGATGAGTGTGGAACCAAGCCAAACAGTTTTAATAAATAATATAGGTTGATTGATCTGAAAGCATCAATTTACATGATGGTGTCAATAGGAAAGACACCTGCTTTTTACAGAGATGTCCTGAGACTGTATTACCATTAATAGCCAGAAACCTGAGTTCATCCTCAATCCTGACAGCAACATCAACATACATTGTTTACTGCTCAGAGGAGCGCATGCATGATGCAGCCATTTCACAGAGAGTTACCAAATACTTCTATGGTATTCTTTTAGAGAAGCATGTACTTGGCAATGTTAAATTATCCTTTTGATAGTTTAATCTAGAAGAACAAATATTAAACAAGACCACACTGGAAATTCAGAGTAAAGCATAGGAAGTAGAAGAGAAAGCAGCAACAGTTAGTTATTCAATAACGTTTAAAATCTTTTTTGCTTCTGAGAATTAACTTGAAATACAGCAGAGGCCAGCAACCTTGTGAATATTTCAAAATGACATCTATGGAAAAGCAGCAATGAAAAATATTGTCAAGTATTTCATTTAATTATCTTAGCAATACAGATTTTATAGCACTGTTCTTAGTGTCTTTTTTTTTCTTTCAAAATATGTATCATGGTATGTTTTAAAGAGAATTCTTTATTTTAAAGCTCATTATAGTCAACAAATTTTTTACTATTTATAGCTATTTTTATGTACAGCAATAGGTAACCAACTCAATCTCATGCTGTCAATTAGCAACACAGAAGCAAGGCAAAGTTCGAAAGTCCATTCGAAAATAGAAATTAATTGAGATTTATTTAGGGCCGCATAATTATACAATAAAAGCTAATCATTTTAAAGACATATCATTTACAATGTGAAAAATAATTATCATAAAGCTCACAGCTGAAATGCTGGCAGAACATTTTCGAAGTGCACATAGTGTGGCATTTAACCCTGCTTTTCATTGACAGAATAAAATGAGGCATACAGACACTACTGTTGGTTCCATTAGACTGGCCTAATTTCTTCCAGTCTCCTTATTTTATTTTTTTCCAGATAGGTGAAAACTCATTCCGTGTGCCCTCCACAGTTGTCATGGCAACCAGCCTATCACACGCAGCTAACCTTTTCATTCACCGTGTTGATATTGTCTGTAGAGGCATCTTCCGCATGTTGCTTTCCTAGAGCAACCATAGAGCAGTCATTATCTGCGGTCTTGGCATCTTTCTTTGAATTCTTTTTTTGGCCCATTTGGAGTTGACTAGACTTGTAGGCCAAAGCCGGTATAGTGTTCACTAAAATGAGCTGCAATGGTTTTTTGTTTTCCTTGTACTGACACTGAATATACCGCGAAAACGCCGACCTGTAGGTCTTATTGAACAGTGTGTAGACTAGTGGGTTGACCGCCGAGGAGAGGTAACCGATCCAAACGAACACGTTAAGCAAGGCTCCGATGACATCCTCGTTGCAGGACTCTTTGCAGATCACGGCCATTATGTTCGTGATGAAGAAGGGACACCACATCACCACAAACAGAAAGAAGACGATGCCCAGCACCTTGCATGCTTTTTGCTCGTTGCTGATGGACTGCATAGTCCTCCTGCCGGCGTAGGCCCCTGGCTCCCTGTGGATGGACCTCTGGAAGAGCTTTTCCGAAGACAGGGAACTCTGAGGGAGGAAGCTGAAAGAAGCTAATTTGGCCCGAGTGCCAACATCGCTCACACACAAAGTAGCTTCTTTCTGGAGTGACTTGATAGTTAGAAAGTAGGTGATCACCATGATGGTTAAGGGAATGAAAAATGACACGAAAGAGCCGATCAGGACAAAGTTGTCATCGGCGAGCAAGCAACTCCCCTCCTTAAAGACCTTGGAATCATCCTGTAGCCCAAAGACTGGTATTGGCATAGAGATACCTGGAGTTGGAAAGAAAATGAAACATGGTTATTAAGGAATTGAGTATCTGAAGTCAAGAGCACAGTAGTGGCTGTTCAGAGAATTTCATATTAACATTGTTTAAAAGCTTGATATACATACTTTCATTGAGAATTTAAAATTCCTTAGAACTTACTTATCTATTTTAGAAGTATATTTTATATAGTCCCTTATACATCATGTTGCCCTAGATAGATAGTGCTTTACTTATAAAGAACTATAATAAATCTAGCTTGAAATTTTCATGTCGTATTTTTCTGATTATAACATTATACTTACTAATGAAGAAAACAGACCCAGAGGCAAAGAAACAATAATGAAAATGACCAATAATGCCACCCTTCAGAGATGACCACCATTAATAGCTTGATGCTGTTCATTTTAGATAAACACACACACATACACACACACTGTGCGCACACATTTTAAAACAGAATTAGGGTTCTATTTCACATCCAGTTCTATAAGACGTTTCATCTAACATTATATCATGAGCATGGCTTATATAGAAAAACAACTTTATAAAGGCATAAACATAGTACATTTTCTCTAGAAATTTGGAAAATACAAAAATGTAACAATTGAATAAAGAAAAATCATATGTATTCTCACCAGCCAGGAGCAATTATAATTTATATTTGTATAGTTTCTTCTTCCATTTACATGTACATATAAAATATACATATATGTGCACTACTTTGTGTGTAGTTTTAGATCTTCCCATTCCATTTAACATTAAATCATACAAATTTCACATATCTTAAGGTATTTTTAAAAAATATGATTTTCTAATATTAATTTAAAGCAATCCATTTTTATTCTTTTTAAAAAAGCTTTCATTATGGAAAAAAAGTTAGCATACACATAAAACCCAAAAGAACGTAAAACCAACCCCAGCACAGTGAAGCTATCAACCAGCTTCAACAGTTATCAGCTCAAGACCGATCTTGTTTCACCCATGCTCCCACTGGCTGCTGTCCCTCCCATGTCATTTTGAAGCAAACCCCAGATGTCATATCATTCAATCTGTAAGTAGTTTATTGTATAGATCTAAAAGTTATGTACCTTTAGAAAAATCTACTATTATTGTAATGCCATTCTCTCTCCTAAATAGAAATTTAATATTTCCTTAATATTAAGTAGACAGTCAGTGTTCAAATTTCCAAGTGTCCCATAAAGGTTGTTCTATTTTTTTAGTAGTAGAGCATTCATAAGCATAAGGGTGGATTACAAAAAATAAGGCATCCATAAACTTTTCTTTTCTTGACAAATATGAGTTAGGTACATGGGGAGATAATACCTGGGCATGTGGGGCTATGGTCCATCTCTCTGTCACCAAGATTTTGGGGCTCTGTGAAGCTCCCTCAGGCCCAGGACTTAGGCAGAGGAGGGAGCAGAAGTGAGCAAAGGTAACGTTTGGCCTCTAATCATGCTCCTTTCTCCCCATGATGATAGGACCTCACTAAAGAGAGATTCAGCTGGCCATGGTGTGCAGTTTCACCTCCCGTGGGGCCTGGGAAAGTTGGGGTGTCATCTTCTGCAGGCCTGGGACTGGCCAGGCCAAGGCAGTTAGGACACAGCTTGTTCTCTCTGCCTCAAAGGAAGAATCAGGGTGATGGGGAGGAGGAAAACCATGAATTAATACTCTGAATAACCTGGTTTAAGGTTACTGCTTTCATTAAAGGGTAGACACCACAGGGACACCCCAGGAGAAGGAGCCAGAAAAAAAAAGTTTCCTTTTTACCTACTGTGCGTATTTTCAGCTCCCTCGGAGCCGCACAACAGTGCCCTGGTGACTGCTTCTGGCTACTCTTCAGGGTCTACTATGTGGTCTCGAGCCAGCCAAGAACACTGGTTAATTCCAGAGTGTGTGTGTGGGCGGGCACTGCTTGACTCTTGCCATCCCTCTGGAGAAAGTGTGTTTGAGGATCTATAATGTAACTTCTGCAAACTCAGAACTGAATTCAGCTCCATCCGACACAGACGTGACTGCCCTGACCTCACGTCACCTCACCCTGGCCATCACGGCAAGGAAGGTGAGCTGGTGTGATGTTTAACATAAAATCTTTCTTAGTGACATTTGCCGTTATCTTCACAGACTTACTGGGCAATATGTGTCACTTGCCTATGCAAGGCCATCCGGTATTCTTAGAAGGTGGAGATAAATGACATCAGAGCTGTTCTCAAGGACACTTTGCGGTTAATGACTTTTCATTTCCTTCATCCCTCTCTTGTCCCCGACCCGCTGTTGGTAACATTCTGGGAGCCAAGAAGAAACGAACGAGCTGTGGCTCCAAGGGGGAACGTCCTCTGAGGCCCTGGATACCCACCACTTTTGCTTATCCTTCAGTAAACTCTTGTTCATAAAAGTTAAGACATGGTTTCTAAGAAGAGTGTTTTTTTCTTCCTACCTTTGCACATAGATTTGTGTAAGATAATTCCTATATTCATCTACAGGGTTGTTAGTGTAGTTGGTCACTGATTAGACAGGATGCCTTGGACATCCACTTGAGACAGTCCTGGATCTGAGTCCTAGCTGTGGTTCTGGGGTCCTGGATTGGCTACATCATCCCTGCGGTCCTCAGTTCTTCATCTATAATATGAGACTGGCACCAACATGCCCACATGGATGTGGTGAGGATAAAATGGGTCGAATACGCGGAGCCCAGAGGACAGTGCCTAGTCTGGAGTGACGTTCTGCCAATGAATAGATAACATGAGAGTAGCTTTCTCTGGAGAATTATACAGATTAAATACATCAACATTATTTTGTTCTATTTGCTTAAATAGTATACACTAGATTTCATATAATAAATATTTTTGAACCAAAATAGACCAAAAAAAAGTTTTGGTTATTGGTTATATCAGGGGTCCTCAAACTTTTTAAACAGGGGGCCAGTTCACTGTCCCTCAGACCGTTGGAGGGCCATTGGAGAGTGCGGCACACATTCCACACATGCGCCCTGTGGACCCGGGACAAGTTGGCTGCTAAGCAGGACAGGCAGCGGCTGCAAAAACACCCAGTGGGCCGGATAAATGTCCTCGGCTGGCCGCATGTGGCCCACAGGCCGCAGTTTCAGGATGCCTGACTTATATATTTAATAATAATGTAATTATTAGCTTCTTCCAGGGTGACATAGGGTCACAATCAATTTTAATTTTGTATATCTAGAATTGTTGATTACTTTCCTAATGTGATGAATTACAGCCATTACTGTCATGGTACACATAAACAAATATCAACTGTCCAAAAAAGGGGTATGATTTTATTATTAAATTCTTGGATGTTCATTTTCCTGGTTAATACAAAGGAAGTTACTATTTTGAGAGCCTTTTGCTCTATCTGTGACTTGGTAATGTATATAAGTGGCAATTCTCAATTAATGAGAATATGGGATTACCTAAAATGCCAAACTCTTCAATCATTTGTAATAGTGTCTTTGGTTAGGGAGAACACACACACACACATACACACACACACACACACACACACACACACACACACACATCCCCCTCCAGATTGACCAATGTTTGCAGGCAGAGACAAAAGGGGTGATGGAGCCATTCTTGCTAAAATAGAGATTCCCCCTCTTAGCTACCTGGGACGAAAAGCCTTTCTAAAAGAGGACATGGTAAGAGATTACAGGCAGGGTTGCCCTGTGTCTGGAAGGGCCACCTTGATTTGGAGGGGGAGAATCAAGGTGGCAAGGTCTTGAAATGGCCCATTCCTTTTTACATATAACAAAAATATCCTGAATACTATTACATGTCATTCTTTTTCAGGGCCTCACTCATAGTAAGTGGTCAGCAAGGATTTGTAGAAAGAATAACCAGAAAGTTAAAGCACTATTCCATAAAGAAGGAGAGAAATTTCACGTCATAGAACTAGAACACTGAGATAGGCTTTGTGGGTACAATAGGCAGTTCAAAAGTGTGTACTCCTACCAAGAGGGATGAAGACATGGGCTGGTATCAAGATTGGGGGCACAGCCATCTCCAGGGCATTAATTCTCTGGCTGCTTTGTTTGCTAATAGCTGCTTTTGGAAACCTGACATCTCCTCTCACTTGAAATTTCTGCATATAAAGCATTTTCCTTTATGAACAAAACAGACAGTAGCTTGAACTACATGACTTTGCATTTTGTTTAATATATTTTCTAAGGAGTGGAAAATAGCAATCAAAATTCAATATCAGTATTGGGTCCTCTATGCATATTTTCATTCTTTCCATTAAAACTCAGACTATGAAATGAAAAGGAAACATTGACACCTAAGCACACAAAAGTGTTGGTTGGTGTCTTTTCTCCAGCATAGCTCTGCTTGCTCTCTGCACATAAAGTTTGCACCTCTAGTTAACATCTTTCCAAAGTTAAGACAAATCGCCTTAACTTTGAACCATTGGCCATGACAGAGGGCCTTTATGCTTAATCCTAGACTTTTGGAGACATCATACTTTTCCTGGGAAACAAGAAGGTTGCCTTTCTAGGTAGCAGTCATCTTATAGGGAAAAGGACAGTGGGAGTTCCTTGGGGTCTTGGGTGGAAGAGGACAGAAAAAAATATTTCAGGGCTCTTGTGAAAAAGATAGAATTTGGATTCACAGGTTTCTGTTCCCCTAAAACTGCTACCTCTTCTTAGCATTTTAATGCATGCTGAATTTTTCAAGTTATAAGAATGGATTTACTAGCAGTTTGATAGAAAGCATCACAAGTAAACATTGCAGGATAATCCTTATACTGTAGGGAAAGCAGGGTTGAAGATCCAGGGCAACTAGGACTGAGACTTGCTGTCCTTCTCATAAAGAGTTGCTAAATTCCTTATAATCTATGGTCCTATTGATAAGGCTGATGTACATAAAACTGAGAGCTAGGCAGAAATGTTGGTTACCCAAGAAGTTGTATGTTTCTGCTTCTTATATTAATTCTGAATAGCTCTAACAATAAATTGCAACCTTTCAAGATATTTTCATGCATATTCATTCA